GTGAAGTCTGGCTAAATCCTAACCTCAAAGCCTAAACCCTGAAACGCTTGAAGTCTGGCTGCCAGGAAGTGACTGTTGTGGAGAGTGCCGTGGCGTTCGCCCTGCCCCCCATGGACGGCGTGTCCCAGCAAGATCTCCAGGCCACACTGAGATTTCTTAATGAGAGCTGTAGTCTGAACTCCTTTCAGGGGGGTTGTATAGTCTAGGGATGTTTAGGGTCTAAACTAAATTCCTTAAAGGGGGTTATGAAGGGGATTACAACATAGCGTTGGGGTTTAGGGTCTAGGGCCTAAACTCCTTAGATCAAAGGAGGGTTATAGGGGACTATATAGAGAAGTACAATGGGTTATTCATGAAGAGTACAAGTACAACGGGGATGAAGGGGGTCCGTAGTAAAGTTTGGGGCCCGCTGTATTTTGCTGGTGGTTCTTCGGGGCTTCACAAAACGGTGAATATCCAAGGAGGTGTCTTATTATTGAAGGTGAGAAGTGCTGCCCATATAATTATGAGCCATAATCTAAACTCCCTAAAGGGGGTTATATAGGGGATTACATAGGGGACTATTATGGGGGTCATCAAGGGGATACCAGGAGTTTAGATTGTAGGACATATGAGTTGTACAAGCAGTTCTGGCTAAATCTGTACAGATATTTGGGAAAGCAAAGGTGGTTTTGGAATGCTGTTCAGTCGGCGTTTGTCAGGCTATTATTGCTGTTCGGTTACAGTACTCGGCACTGGCTTTGGTTTCCTGTCTGAAGCTTTGGATCTCAGGCCATTTGCAGCTTCAAGTGCCAAAGGTCCTGGTTTCTACTGTTGAGAGTTTGCAGGGCGAGCTGGCATGACTGGAAGGAGCAGCTCGTACCACTTCCGCCTCGTGTCAAGACTTCTGATGGTATTTGCGGTTTTACTGTAAGATGTTGGGCCCTAATTAGAACCTCCCATAATCTCCTCACAATCCCAATATATCCCGTAAAGTCCCTGAAACTCCCAATTCCAAGAAACTCCCACGTCACAGATGCACCTTGCACCCAGAGGTGAGGTTCAGGTGAAAGGCTTGGAGCAGTTGCATCCTATCCTTGTAGTGGTCCTTAGATAATCCCCAAGAATCAAGCAGTTTGCATGTTCTCTTACATTTCGCAAAACCCTCTGAACATTCCACACCCCCCGAGCTGCTGCAGGCTGCCATGGACACTCCTGCAACGAAGAAGGCCCCGCGGTCCTTGTTTGGATCCTTATGATCAGGATTCATATAGTATATTAGGGTCGTCTTATTTAGGGAAGCTACCAATGTGAAGTAACCCAGCGGTTCACGATCATTTCTGCAGGCTTGTGTCTGTTGGGAGCTGACAGCTTCTCTGAATGTTTAAGCCGGCATCTTAAGTGGGGCAGGGATGCAGGCCTGGTGGTGTCCCCAAATAGGGGAAACCCTATCAATATAGACCCCCAAAGACTACAACTAATCCTTTTCATATTGGGGTCCCCAAAATGGTAGCCCTTATTTTGAGAAACCCCACCTGTTGATGGTGGCCTCTTTGAAGCCTCCTGGACCCATGGTTGTTCTGCAGCTGGAAGCGATTCAACTCTTCAGGTGCTTGCCGCATCCGTCAGTTTGCCATGTCCTTGTTCTTCGCCAGCCCTTCGCCTTTGATTGGAGTGCTGCTGCTCTCAGCCGTGGCCGCGATCCGCGATCAAAAGGTGATCTCCAGTCAACATTCCGGATCAGAGGATGTAGCTTGGGCTTTTGCCCGGCGCCACTCTGACACAGCAGCTACTTTGGACCCAGAGGACCCCGAGGAGATTGTGGTGCGAGGTCAGTGGAAGTATGATGACGCTGAAGCGAACTACGACTGGTTGAAGTCAGCCATCAAGGAATGCGTCGAGAAGTACACGTACCCGAGCACTAACGTCAAGTTTTGCCAGCAAATGGCCCAGTGCATCAGAGACGCATGCGAGAAGAACTGGTCCGGAGAAAGTACGGGGCACCAGGTCCTCGTGGACGCGCAGGAGACCGGCAACGTAGCGGGCTTCACTCCTGCTATACCGTTTGGCGATTATGGCCACCTATATCTGAAGTACGGGAAGATGGCCATCGTCCTTTTCCGCTATCTCAAGTAGCCTGCTCCTTCAATGTGGGGAATGCACGATGCTCCATCACGGCTGCTGGCCATAGCATGGTGTACTTGCCTTCGCGCCAAAAAAGAGGGGTGTGCATTTCCAATGCATTGAAGCTGCGCCATAACCCATGGACCCAACACCCTACGTCTAGGGACATTCTGTAGTCCTTCTAGGGCCGGGCCTCCTGCCCCAGGTGTAGGGTTTAGGGTGTAGGGTTTAAGGTCTGCCCTGCATTGAGAAGCTTTGTACTTCCTTGAAACGCACTTTTCCGACAAATGCAAACCATGACTGGAGTAAGCAGGGCCAGTGCTTCATGTAGAACCCTGAATTATTACCAACATTGCTCTGCGGTCATGCTGAAGCAAGACCAGGATGATTTTACCCCAAAGCATACTCTGGGTTGCTGTTAAGGAACTTCAATTAAGTTACCACAATGGGTATACATAGTAAATAATAGGGTTTCCCCAATATAGTAACTTCATTTAAGTTCCTTAACAGCAACCCAGTTCCAAGTTGTTTTTCAGCTCGTAGATGACGGGAAATTCTCACCCAAATGCAAAACAACACGGATTGGCGCTGGACGATGAATGGTTCTCAGAATGTGTGAGCGACCAGACTCGTCACGAAGACTTTCATGTTGCTCTCCGGAAAGGGCTACATTGCGTTTGATGGACAGCGTATGGATTGCAACGGTCTGGACTCAAAAGTAGGTAAAATAGTAGCCCCAAAAACCCGTAGAAATGGCCCTTTGTTTAGGGTTCAGGTAGGCAGGTGTTGTTCGGGTTGCTTCGTAGCTTTTATTTGCTAACATTTGCTCCATCAAGCTAAGCACTTGCGGTTTGATATGATGTCCAACACACGACATGACGCCTTCGGACTTTCCATGGGGCGATTGTTGAGGCCTACGCGAAGACGCTCGCATCTTCTCTGGGCGTGGACAACATGGAGGCCCACGGGTTAGGGTTTAGGGTTTAGGGGTTTAGGGCTTAGGGTTTAGGGCTTTAGGGTTCTCTAAGCTCTAAACCCTTAACCCTTGCCTGTGGCAGACGTAAAATTCCGAGGGTTTGAAAAAACCTTAACCCTTACAAATCCTAAATCCTTGACCCTTATAAACCCTAAGTAAACCCTAAACCCAAAAAAGCTCGGGGTTCAGATGGCAGGATTACAGGATGCCAGGATTGAGGGTTTAGGGTTTAACCTTTTGGACGAAAATGTTGAGACACGCCGTATGAGCTATAGTCTAAACTCCTTAAAGCGGGTTATATGGGGGATTAGAAAGGGGAGTATTATAGGGATTATTAGGGGATACTAGGAGTTTAGACTAGAGCTCATATCACCCTTGCAGCCTCCATGCAGGACATCATCATCCTGCTGATCCAGGTGTTGGAGTCCGTATCTGCGGCTGCCTCAGCAAGAGGTGGAGCCTTATTAGGGTTTAGTGTTTAGGGGATGCACCGGGGTTTTTGGTGTTGGAAACGCAGAGCATCCCTGAGCATCAGAAAGCCAGTGCCTTACCGAAACAGATGCGATATCTGCGCTTCAGCTCCGGCGTGCAGTCGAAACAAATCAGGGTGGTTGTCAAGATTATGGTCCCTTTTTGGGTCCCTATGATAATACGGCACCTAATATTTAGGGTACCCAAAAAGGGACCATAATTTTGACAACCACCCATGTGTTGTGTAGGACCCAGAGCTCGTTTCTTCATTTGTTCTCAGAAGCCGCCTCTCTGACCTGCTGGGACTTAGTGAGGAACAAGGGAATGTATTCTCAAGGGATTATACGAGCTACTGTCCACATTAGCCTCACTCATCAAGGGACCTCCTGTTATTGAGTATAGCCCCTCATAGGGAACCCATGTTCATTAAGTTTTGTAGGAAATATTGACTGCAGCGTAAATAGGGACTTTTTCCCTGTGCCCTTATTCCCTACTGACCACGAGAAAGCTGAAGCTCAAGCATGCAGAAAGCCCTAAACCCTAAGCCTTGTTAATTGCTGTAAGGAGAGTCAGCAGATCGAGGATTCGCAAAGCGATGCCTCAGGCTCGGCGTTAGTCTTACTTTTCGGTGGTTCGTAGGGAATAAGGGAATATAATCCCAATATATTATATTCCCTGATTCCCAACTAAACCCCCAGGAAGGTTGCTGTTAAAACAGTGAAGTTAGCAAAGACGGCCGCTCTTGCTGTCATGCTATTCCTACATACTTTTCCTGGTGCTCGTCTTGTTGCTTCACTGTTGTGACTATTGCAACTCCTGTGTTATGTGTAGGTTTTGGATGTTGTCAGATGGGCTTCATACTGTGGGACGGAATGACATGTGGGCCAAGAATGGTTCTTCAGACAAGGCTGCAGCTGTTTCAATTCTGCTTGGATGGCTCTAATGCTTTCTACCGGGCCTACTCAGCTCCGAGAATGTCAGTTTCTCCTAACTACGACAAAAGAGGATACTGCTTACTGACAGTACGGTATCATGGCAGTAGCTTGAAAGAATCCTGATTTACTCTTATGCTACCTCTATATAATCCCTACAAACATCCCTATACAACCCCTATATTATAACCCTATCTACTGCTGGCTGCAGTTCTGCAGGTGCTGGGTACCGGCCGAGGGGTCTCCCTGCGGCCAGCACGGTGGAGGACCTTTCCCAGGCCTGAGCCTGGCAGCTGGGAGCCACTCACATGAACTGTAGTCTAAACTCCTGAAAGGCCGGCTATACAGGGGATTTTATAGGGGACTGCGAAAGGGGTTATTAAGGGAGATGCTAGGAGTTTAGACCATGGCTCACATGAAGTGTGTCATGCCTGGAAGTGGACTCGCTACATGTAGCAGTGCTGCTCAGTGAACTGGCATCAATCAAGGGATTCGTGGGCTGAGTCCTTCGAAAGGCAATGGACGAAGAAGTCTGGAACAAGCTCAGGCAGCAGTTGTGGCGGCCTCAAGCTGATATAGGGGTTACGTAGGTGTTATAGGGTATATATTGTGCTTATATAGGCATAATGGAAAATAAAATGGAAACTACAGTGGTTTGCTTCCGCTGTACGGTTGAAGCCGGCAGGGTCAGCGTCTATCAGATGCGGTCCATGACACAAGTTACAAGTGTATATACATGTTCAAGCTGCTGGAGTCAAGGCGCAGCTTGCAAGACAACATCAATGACATTACCACGAAGTTTGCACCGCCTGGGCCCAAGTTGTGGCAGTGTGGGCACTATGCCCCCGTAAAGTCTGCCAAACCTTGGCTTGAATCGTCAAGCAGCTCAGATTATCTCGCCCGAGGCCGAAGACAGGTTCGCTCTCGGCGTGCGATGGAACTTGGACGTACCCTTCAAAGACCCCAAACAGTGCGCGGTCTCATCGTGAGACGGACACGCGCCTCCTTCTGCATCCGCAGATGTCCCACATCCAATCCGGCCGCTTCCAGCGAGTCTCCCATGGCCAGTTACCACCCCCCCAAACACCAAATTCTGCAAGCTCCAACTCAAGCATGCGGCGAACACAAGCATGGCATTTGCAAAGCCACTTGCCTGACGAAGTCATCCCCAGCAGTGCGACCTCAGAAAGCTCCGCGGCGCAGGCTCGCTGCTACTTGGAGGGTCAGGGGGACTTAGTAACTAGTTTAGATTCCGTGTAGGGTTTAGGGTTCAGGGTTTACGGTCATGATGACTTAGTAAGTAGGTTAATGATAGGGATAACTAGGGTTACTACAAGTAGGCAGCACCGCTTCTCATGGGCTTGGAGAGAACTGCGTGGTGATTCTATTGTTGCGGTGGTTATCCCTCTTCTCGCCTTTCATGGTCATCTCATGTGAGGGATAGTGTGGACTCCCCAGAGGCAGTTATTGAGGGGATTATGTAGGGGACTACTGTAAGGGTTATTGAGGGGGATACTAGGAGTTTAGACTATACTAGGAGTTTAGACTATAGCTCATTTAGTCCCCATATACACTCCATTATCCTGTAGTAGTTTCCATTTCTTTTCCATTTTCCCTATAATCTACTATATTATATGAAAATCGCTCATTTCTCGTGTGAGGCCTATTCGCAGGCGGGCAGTTGCCGCCGAGCGTCCTTGACCAGCAGTGCCACAAATGAGATTCAGCTGCTACCCCAGAAAGCCGCTTCCGTGACGTTGATAGGGTTTTGACAGATTCTGGGGTGAAGTCAAATACTTTGCTTGTTCTCCATTGCATCCCATTATCCTCCTGGGGCATTTTTTCCGTCTTACTCGAAGGTGGCTCCTTGTTGTTCCTGATTTTGTCAGCAGCACTGTTTCAGTGTACTCTGCCAGAGAAGGGTACTTATGTTCAGCAAGTTGAACTTGAATTCTACTCTAGCGAACTGAAAGTCATCTAAGGGTTCAAATCTGTACAGAGCAGTGGCAATTCCTGGAAGGTGAGCCTGTCCAACAGGTCCCTTCAGAAGGTGTCTTCCAAAGCAGGTGGATCTGAGTTGTGGAGGCGGCAAGAGCAGACCCAAAACTTGGCGAACTCCTTCAATGTCAATGTAGCCTTCGTCATACATTGACTTTCGGCTACCCCCCCAACAGCTCCAGGGGCATGATAGCATGGTCGTATATGCCCTATGTTACTTGTATATGACCCTCTATCATGTAGGAGTTTCCATTTCATGCTTCAGTATCCCAATATAACCCCCTGTATCCCGTATGAAACCCTACTTGGTGGACCTAGATTGTAGCATGAAACCACCAAAATGCTGCTATCAAGCAGTCGGACGCTAATGCACCTTTCCCACAGCCCCTAAACCCCAAACCCTAAACCCTAAACCCTAAGCCCTAAGCCCTAAGCCCTAACCCTAAACCCTAAACTAAACCCTAAACCCAGTCTTGAGCGAACACTCTGCGTGCGAATTCGTGCTCGAAGGCCTGGGATTCTACCCGGATTCGAGGACCCGGCAAAGGGATAAGGTTAGGGTGTATATAGGATAGTATATAAGTATATACTTTACAGTGCATATATATATATATATAAATAGAACAATGGAGAATCAGGAAACGAACGAAAACGGGAATTATGGCAGGGTTTTAGGTCTCAGCGGGTTTGGGTTCAGCTTTCAGGGCTTTGGAGTTTAGGGTTTAAGGACTGTAGGGTTGCGGGTTTGTGGTTTAAGGGCTTGGGCACATGGTCTATCCTGCCCAAACTAGCATGGAAGCCCAAACGCGCCGCAATACCGGCCACTGACCTTCTAAACAGGGCTAGATGGGTTTTGACGTCATCTAGCACAGTCCTGACTTCTCGGAGAACCATTTTGGTAATCCCATAGAACTACCATAAACCCTGAACCCTATACAACCCTAAACCCTGAACACTCCACAGAACTCAAACTCCGCGCCTTCTACACCATGTTGGGATCCGTCAGGAAAGATCCCTGGCAACCGGACTACATCTTTGAGCTGTACCATCTGTCAGCCCTCAGCCCTAGATCCCAAAGTCTATAGTCCCCCTTAAGTAGATAGAACATGGGGTATATGGGGATCTTATTATAATCTACCCCAAAGCCATATTCTATCTACTTAAGGGGGACTATATACCCTAAGCGCTGAGCCCAAAGCTTCCTCCGAACAAAAACTTTAAGCCCTAAATGCTAAGCCCTAAGTTCATGGCTTCCGCTGGCTTTCCCTTAATTAGGGTTGCTTACGGGTAACTAGGGCTAATCAAGTAACTACACCCCAGACCCTAAACCCTAAACCCTTAACCCTAAACCTGAAGCAGGCTGAGCTCCACAACCCAGCATCTCGCCCTGCGTTATGTCCGCCGGCTCCTTAGGAAGCAGGTAACCAAGTCAGGGAGAATGTAGGAGTTCCCAAAAACAAGGGGTAATTTTTTGGGGTAATAAAGATGATTGTATTTTGGGGTCTATTTTAGGGTCATCCAATTTTCGGAAAATACCATATAGGGGTGGCAGTATGGGGGGGGGGCGGGGAGGAGGCCTAGAGTTTTCTGGGAAGCTCTTTCTCGGATCATGACTTCAGTATACGATAGTGCCCTAATTCCAAAGGTGAAAGGTAACAACTACCATGCAGGATTGGGTTTTGGGTTTGGGTTTTGGGTTTAGGGTTTAGGGTTTAGGGTTTAGGGTTAGTATCCACCGTAGTTCGGGATGATACGAGGATTTATGGCGCCGGTTTAGTGCAGCAAAATGGGGGGCAGGTTTTTTCTCAATCGCTACTCTAGGAAGTTTTAAATTCTAAACCCTGAAGCCGAGGCCCTAAACCCTAAACCCTCAACCCCAACCTAATCCCTCACCCTAAGCCCTAACCCCTAATCACCCTAAACCCGAACTAGCTTCTGCTTTATGACTGGAGCTGACGCTCAGGGGGATACCCGGATGCCCGACTCGCAGCACTGGCAGCCTCAACTCAGTGTGTCGACCTGAGTTTTTGTTCTTCCATGTAGGCATAATTCGATAAGGGTTTAGGTTTAGGGCTATAGAGGGGTTATATAATGTTATATAGGGATACGGGAGCAGAAGATGGAAGCTACCATTTAGGGTTTCCCAAAATTAGGGGCACCAGTTTGGGGGTGCCCGGTCAATGGGATTATCGTACTTTGGGGTCTCCATTTCGTCTCCCTGTTCCCGGAAGCTGTCATGCGTGCGAGTACTTACAGGGAAATAGAGATAACACTACCGTCATACTAGCGTAGCATTGCAAAGGAAGAGATGCATTCAACATTTTAACATGTGTTGCTAGTGTGGCCGACGCTACTTGCCCCCCTTGCATGACAGTATTCACTTGCATTGGTTAAACGGCCCGTCTTCTCCGCCGCTATTTGCAATCTTTGTAATCTTGGGCCTAATTCCCTATCTCTACCATCTATATTCTTCATTCAGCATATCACTTACCAAAGTACACAACTCCTAGCGCGGATTTATGGTCCGACGGCAAACAGAGAGCTTATAACTGCTTTGGCCGCTGTTTTAATTGCCGGTGCTGGCATTACGGTTTGCACTGGGTTTTGGTTGTCTTGTTGCCTCTTGGATCTATACGTACTCAGACACAAAGCACTTTGGGTGGCGTGCTAGAACTCAGGTCAGTGCCCTAAACCCTAAACTCAGTACGTGTCTCCTACCGCTACGGTTAGGTTCGCATGTGCTAGAGGATGCTTGCGATTGCAATCCCTAGCTCTTTCATGAATGGGGGCATAGGGACTATGTGGGTAGTTCCCAACATTAGGGTCCCATTTTCGTACCCCTAAATACTAGGTGCTGTAATACAATCTACAACCCAAAGGGTTCACGATTTTGAGAATAACCCATATAGACTGTGAAGCTGTAGTGGGGACTGGGGGCCCGCTAGTAGTCCAGTAGCTAGCTTCCACATTACGAATCCACATGGTCTACAGCAAAGCTGTGGATTTCAGTTGTGAGGAAATGTTTCCCACGTCTTGGTCAAGTCCCTAAACCCTAAACCCTTAACCCTAAACCCTGAACCCTTAACCTTAAACCCTAAACCCTTAACCCTAAACCCTAAACCCTAAACCCAAAATCCCCCTTTGTTCTGAAGCATGCCTAGGGCTCCTGTCACACCTCGCAGCGCCAAAATCACGATGCACCGGGTTCCCTTGGAGATTATTGGCTGGATCCTAAGGCTCGTGTCTGTAGGGGTTTAGGGTTTAGGGTTAAAACTGAATGCGGTTATATTGGGATAAAAAGATAAATGGAAACTACTAGAATGGGGTTATATAGGGTTTAGGGTTTAGGGTTTAACCTACTGCTATCACGATGGCAAAGGGTCTAGTGTGGTCCATCCAAGGCGGAGATTAGGTACTCATCCAAGATTCAAGTCCTCGCATATGGATCAAAGCAGCAAGATCATCATGGCCCAACTCAGAAGGCATTGTTTCACGCAGTTCCAGGGGATGCCTCAGCTTCTTTGTTGTTAGTAGTTAGGGAATAGGTAGGGAATATGGGAATACAATCCCTATAGAATCCCTATAGAATATATTCCCTTCCTCCCTACTAGCCCCCAGTAAGTCAGGTGCACCATTATCTACAAGCACCGCTACACTTCCGAGTGGAGCGATGGCCTCGGAGTGCCAACCCTAAACCCTACACCATAACGCCTAACCCCTAAACCCTAACCCCTGAACCCAAAACCCTAACCCCTAAACCCGAAACCCTCACCCCTAAACCCTCAACCCGTCTTAAGTCTTTGGGTGGCCAGGCACCGCCCCCATGGCTGCGAA